GGTCACAGTGAACTAGCTAGCCTAGGTGTCCTTACAGGGTTAGAGTTTCCTGAGGTATCAAAATGGCTAGATTGTCCTGGAAGTAAGAGTGCCCTGGAACAGTAAGATAGCCTTCTAGGGATGAATAACCTACATGGTGGGGTGTTCATAAGCTCAGAATAAACTTGTGTTTATGTTATCCAGTATAATCAATATCTTCTTAAAAAGACTTGATTTGTGGGGGCATCAGGGGCCCTTGTATGCCTCAGTAGTGTCCTGTGGGTTTGTCCTATCTCTGGATTGTAAGCATGCCTATAAAGGACCAGAGTACTTTGCAGCACTGAAACACTCTAAATGGTAGAGTTCTCTTGGGGAACCATATTCTTAGAGAATCCAAAGGAGCATATGAAGTCAGGTGAGCTAGAAAGGTAAAAGTCAGAGAGACTGAAGAGTTAGAGAATCTTGGGAAGGCAGAAGTACTGGAGAGACAGTATCACAGGAGGCAAGAATCTGGTCTAAAGAAATGGTTATCATGTCAGAACATTTTTGAAGTGTCTTTTAACATCACTAACTTTAGGTCAAAGTGTTCTGGAAGATCAGACTATTTTCATAGAGTCACATGTTTTAGAGATTGAGTCAGAGATTCAGAGACTCTTACATGTATTTGGAAGCCTATGTTGTCACTGTTTTCAGGTGAGTCAGCATACCCATTTGGTATCTGAATGTATGAAAATCAGAAATGCTGAGGAGATTGAGTTTTTCTGGAGAGGTGGTAGTCCTTGACTCAGATAGGCTTGAATGGCTCTGCCATGGAGTAGAGTGTCAAGGTGTCTTTGTACAATAAGAGAATTCTCAGGAATCAGAATGAACAGAGAATGCTAGACAGGGCTGAGACTACTGAGAAAGTCAAGATGTTTGGCAGTTTGGGGAACAGTATGCATCACACATAAGATCTCTTACAGAGAAGTTTTCCGTGAGAAGCAAAATTTCTTTTTTTTTTTTTGGCAGCACTCAGGGCCTCATGCTTGCTAAGCAGGCACTCTTACCACTTAAGCTACTCTGCCAGTCCTCCCCATCCCCCTTTTTTGTGATGAATTTTCTCAAGATAAAGCCTTGTGAACTATTTGCCCAGGGTTGGCTTTGAACTGCGATCCTCCTGATCTCTGCCTCCTGAGTAATTAGGATTGCAGGCATGAGCCACCACACCTAGCTAGAGAGGCAAGGTTTCTTGAGGATTAAAATAATCAGCCTTGTGGATTCAGGGGATCCTGGTGGGTTATAGCTGTTCTGGGCTGTCTGCGTCATGGCAATAGAGAGAGTGGCAGTGATTATGATGCCTATCAAGAAGTTTAGGACCAAGGGACAGTGCACTAAAGGCTAGAGTGTCATGTGCTCAGGGCACACTGGATGGTTGGAGGTCAACACACCCTTAGAGTCAACTCTGAATGGGCTGGAAGGATAGATGCCCTCAAATATCCACATCCTGTCTGGTCAGGGAACTCCTTATAGGGTCAGGGCTTTCCAAATTTCACCATGTCCTTGTGGTCCAGTATTCTTAGAGGGTCATGGAATCACTGTGAGCTCAATCTACCATGCTGACTCTAAGATACTAAGGTCAACGCTTCTGGAGCCCTGTGTTTTCGAAGAGAGTGAACACACCCCTTTTTCCTAGGAAATGAAGGATCTGACAGGAGACCCTGAGGGTTAGGGTCTCCTGGGGACTGGAAGAGGTGGTGATGGCGTGGTAGTAGAGGAGGAAGAGGAAGAGGAGCGATAGGGTGGTGATATGATGATGATGTTAGAAGGCAGAGTTCTAAATGCTTCACTTCTATTAACTCTTAATCACTATGACCTCATGGGGTATGCGCAGTCCATCCTCATTATTCATGGATTCCATATTTGTGATTTCACCTGCTTTCTTACATTTATTTGTGACCCCCAAATCAATACTCTTCAGCGATACTCTTTGACATTTCTGTGGGCATTTGTAGCCGTGTGCATACAGTGAAAAATATGAAGTCAAACAAGACAAGCTCTGCCTTCTGGTTTCAGCTCTCATAGGTCCTTTCCGTGGCCTGTGTAGTGTCACATTTTTCACGTTTCTGAGCTCTTTGTTAGTGATTTTGCTGCTTAACGTGGCGCCATGTGTTGTGCTAAAATGCTGCCTAGTATTCCTAAGAGCAAGAAGGCAGTGATGTGCCTCACAGAGAAAATCCATGTGTTAAGTGAGCTTTGTTCAGGCATGAGTTACAGAGTTATTGGCTATGAGATTAGTGTTAATAATAATAAAGTGATGTTGACTAAAACCGAATCCAACATAATACAGAAGCACACATAGCACAAGGTTATATGTTCATTGGTGTAACCTGACCAGAACCTGTTCCCTCTAGGAGCATTGGTTTAATATTTACTAATTCAGCGTTCGTGGTGACTTTATGAATGTAACTACCTTAACTAGAGAGTTGGCTGTATTAGTAGCACAGATGCTGGTACTAAGGCATAGAGATGTTAAACAATGAGCCCACAATTGCATAAATACTAAGTGGTGGAGCTAGAATTTGAACTCATGTCAGTTTGGCTCCAGAGCCCAGATTCTTACTCACTATAGCATTCAGCCTCACATGAGATGAAAGGATTCTGTGTGTCATGTTTCCTTGAAGGTCAGGGTCGAAGGTGAGAATCAGGGTGCCTTAGAACAGCAAATGCTTCTAAGAGTCCCAGTCACGTGAGGAACTATGTATCCTGAGATGTCAAGTCAAACTTTCAGTGTCTCAGTGTCCTTGGGGAACAAGGATGATGGTGGGCCAGAGTTTCTTTGTAATATCACAGTGTCCTGGAGCAACTGGTTGTCCTGGAGGAAGGTCAGAGTTCTTTAGGATATCTTGAGCAGGAGGGTGCATTATAATTCTTACGGGTCCAAATTAACAATAAGTTACTGGTCTTACAAGATCAGGGGTGCCATGGGGTTCACAGTGCTGTAGGTGGTCACAGTATATAATGGAGTAGCCAACATCTTGGTGCAATGCTTCTCAATTTTATTGCTGTTATAGACTGAATATGTTTCTCCTCCACCCGTCAAATTCCTATGTTAAAGTCTCACCCCTCAATGTGATATTTTTGGAGGTGGGGCCCTTGAGAGTTAATTGGGTTTTGGATGAGGTCATGAGGGTGAGGCTCCATGATGGGATCAGTGTCTTTCTGGAAATAAGAAGAGACCAGAGCTGGTTTTCCCTCTACCAAGTGAAGACACAGTGAGCAGGTGGCCATCTACAAGCCAGGAGGAAAGACCTCAACCAGAGAACTAAATTGGCCAGTCCCTTGATCTTAGACTTCCCAGACTTCAGAACCATAAGAAATAAATGTCTATTGGTTAAGTCACCCAGTCTATGGTGTCTTGTTATGGCATGCCAACCTGACGAAGATAGGTGTACCTTCAGTTCTCCTGGGGATCTTGCTACAATGCAGACTGTAATTTGGTAGAAGAAGGTAGGGTGCAAGAGTCTGCATTTCTAACAAGCTCTGATGTGTTGTGGCTGCTGGTCTGTGACCATGTTGTAAGCATCACAGTCCCAGAAGATGATGTGTTCTGTCTTGAGGGCCAGGATGTTTTTAAAAGGTGTGTGTGAGGAGTTATTATGACGTTGGGAATCCAACTGACCCCTGGAGTGTGGTGAAAATCAGCTGGTGTGGGTGGAATGTTGTGGATAGCATAGTGTCCTTAGATTTCAGTTTGTCCTATGTGATCCTAAGGTTCGAGGGTGTCAGGTTGTCCTTAAAGGGTGAGAGTGTCCTAATGATGATAGGACACTCTCTGGGGTCTAAGTAAACTCAAGAGACAGGGTTGTCCAGACTGCTTAGAGATTTCAGGTATGTCAGGGTTTCCTTAAAAAAAGTTTGAATGTCAGAAGAATGGCAGAGTGGCTTAAGTGGTAGAGCACCTGCCTAGCAAGCATGAGGCCCTGAGTTCAAAATCCCAGTACTGCCAAAAGAGATCAGAATGTTGGGCTGTCATGGGAATCTCAGCGTATTGCAGGGTGGATAAGGATGTACTTGGATTCAGGTGCTCTTAAGGATCAGGGTTTTCTGAAATTATAGATCATCTTGACAGATCATAATGTCCTTGGAGGTATGGATGGATGAGGAGACATTTGAGGAAGGAAATCAGAGAGTTCTTGTGAACTTTCATGTCCTGAAGACATCCTATATAGATCAGGTTCAGATCATCCAGAGGGGATGGCTGGTGTATTCTGACAGTGTGTGAGGGAGAAGCAGCATTCACTGTGACTTTACTTTTTCTTTTTAGTTTCCTGGAAACGGGTCCTTGGGTATCATCTGTAGCTGAGATACCAGGCAGGCCCTATTCCTGGCCCCTACATTGCCTCCCCCTCCTTTCTACAGTGAGGTTTTGAGGAGGGGGTGTCATAGTAGGAATGTGTTTTCCCCTCTTTCCCCTGCCTACTCCCAAGAGAGGATTTAACAGGACAAAAGAATCTAGTCCCCTGGGAATATGAGCTCTTGGCCCCAGTCCCTGGACCCTCTGATAGAACACCTTCCCTCATCCGGCTTGTGATCCTCCCCTGAGCAAGGGGGCCCTGGTGACCAGGTAATGATTGGATGGGCCCACAGGGCCAGGACGCAGTCACTCCTCCAAGACTCAGGAAGAGAGAGGTGGTGTGAGAAAGTAGACAGCTGCAGAAAAAGAGAGAGCAGCATCTCAGGAGAGAAAAGTAGAGACAAGAACAGAGAATCAGGTAAAGTCGAGACAGGGAGAATGAAATGGCACTCCAGTAAAGGAACAGGGAATTAGAGAAAATGGAGAGACAGTGAAAAAGACGACATCCATTTATATCTGTATCGAGAGAGAGGGAGAGAATATTAGAAACAGAGACTTAAAAAGAGTGGTAAAGAGGGAGAAGAGAAATCCCAGGCATAGAGAGAATCAACAACAGAGAAAGACTGATCTATAATCAAAGATTCAGGGACCCAGGAGGCTGAACCATCTTTGGCCTTGGTGGCTAGCCATGGAAGCCCAAGGGAGAGGCCAGCAGGGGAAGCCAAAGAAGGGGCGCCTTTGCAGCAGCCTCTTTCCTGAGAGATACCCAGCCGCTGGGACTCTGACTTCCACAGTGGGTGAGTGAATCTGGGGATGGGCTTGGGTATGGGGCCCGATGCCTGGTCTCCTGTGAGGCAGTGTTCTCCATGGGGAAGGTTAATAGGGTAAATGAAAAATGTAATCCTACATGGGAACCTTAGAAAATATGAATAATATAACTCCTTCACTTTACAGGTGGAGAAACTGAGGCCCTGACTTGAGAGAGCTGCGAATAGCGCACCCTGCACACCATGCTAGGGGCAGAGGCAAAGCTGAGGTCTATGCTTTGGTGCCTAACCTCAGAGTTTGGCCAAAGCACTGCCTCCTCTGAGGGAGGGAGCTGGGTGGGAGCCACACCCTTGGGTCCCCATGGGGATGAGTGTCTTTACTTTAGACATCTCCTTTTCCCAGCATGCACCTTCCCAGGTCTTTCCTCTTCTCTCCCTGTTCTCTCTTCCCAGGCTGCTCTCAGACTAATTAGTGTGGGGGCTTTAGTGAGCCTTCAGAGAGGAAAGGCACTCTTTCCCACGAGCTCAGGTTCCTGCAGCCTGGTGACTGGGCCAGGGACAGGTTAGGGAAGATGACAAAAAGTACATTCGTGAAGGGAGGGTGTGTCTGAGCAGAATGATTGGGCAGGGGGTGGTGGGGGTGGGGGGGAGGAATGCTTCATCTTCCCAGGTAGAGGGGGTGCAGAAGGATAGAACTACATAAAGAAGGTGTAATTTGAATGTGAGCAGGAAACAAGCAAAGGGGATTTTCGATAGAGCAAAGAGGAGATCCACAAGGTGCACCCCAGATGGGCTGTGTGTGTGCTCTTACAGAGGAGCATATATGGGGGGAGGGGGGGAACAGGGAGTAGGCATAAGGTGGGGTGTCTGGGAGGCAGAGCATGAGTGCCTAGGATGTGCAGTGGGTTGACAGACTTTGGCGGGGGGAGTCTCAGAAATGAAGTTGTGACAGAGACTGAGCTTGATACAGGGGCAGTGGTTATGAGAGCTGAAGGACTTCTGGTGAGATCAGTTTGTCCTGAAGTGGAAGAGTACAGGGGACACTGAGCAGAATACAGGGTCCAGTGATGGATGAGTTCTCTCACTCATAAGTGGCTTCTCCCTCCCTCCACAGACATGAGCACTCAACCATACAGGAGGCTCCCTGGGGCAGGAGTGGGGAGACTGAGGCTTTCCCGGCAAGGAGGACAGAAAGGTCACCCACACCCCAGGCGCCGCCACCGCACCACCTTCAGCCCAGCACAGTTGGAACAGCTGGAGTCAGCCTTTGGGAGGAACCAGTATCCTGACATCTGGGCCCGAGAGGGTCTTGCCCAGGACACGGGCCTCAGTGAGGCAAGAATCCAGGTGATGATGCCCCAGGATCCCTACATGGGGGAGAAGTACAGACTCCTTTGGTGCTGGAGACTGTCTGGGCAGAGATTGTCATGGGCTCAACACCCCTAACCTAAAAGCTCTCTAGATGTAAGCCTCATTCAATAGTCCATTCAACTTCACTTGCATCATGAATATCACTTGAGTTTAACCCCAGCTCTAAGCTAATCTAACTTGAATTTCAACAACTAACCCCAACCTTTAATTGTCACATGAACTCCAACATAAATGCAATCCTAACTCTTCACATCCGTACCCAACTTGCAACTCCACCAGCCCAATGCTCCCTCAATCCTAACCACAGAGTTAATTAACCTTAGGTATAAACTCTATCCAAAAGCCAACCTATTATAACAATTACACTTCTTTACAGTCTTCATCTCTAAGTCTAACCCTCGGGGCAATTTTCCATTATCTAAGTAGGAAGCATATCATTACATCATAATTCTCCCTTTATGAGAGAAGCTGACATTTATTGCTGGGCACCAATGGCTCAGACCTGTAATTCTAGCTACTTGGGAGGCTGAGATCTGGAGGATCGGGGTTCAAGGCCAGCCTGGGCAAATAGTTCTCAAGCCCCCCATCTCCAATATAGCCAGAGCAAAAATGGACTGGAGGTGTGGCTCAATTGGTAGAGTGCCTGCTTTGCAAGCATGAAGCCCTGAGTGCAAACCCCAGTCCCCCGACCCAAAAAAATTGCCATTTCTAAATCACCCAAATGTTGTAGAAGTTAGATAAATTTAGCTGCAGGTTGGCAGTAAGGGCATGGATTTCACATTGTCAGCAGACCTAACTCAGCCAGACCACTGGAGAACTTTCCTTCCTCAGGTCATGTGGGAGATGCTTCCTTCTAGTGCCTGTCTTTGGAGGAAAGGGATGGCAAGCAACTGTGCCTATTCTCCCCATCCTTAGGTCTGGTTCCAGAACCGCAGAGCTAAGCAACGGAAGCAAGAGCGGTCATTGCTCCAACCACTGGCCCATTTGTCTCCTGCCACCTTCTCCAGCTTCCTGTCTGAGTCCCCTGCTTGTCCCTACTCCTATGCAACACCACCCCCACCAGTAACCTGCTTCCCTCACCCCTACAACCATACCCTTCCCACCCAGCCCTCCACAGGTGGTTCATTTGCTCTACCCCACCAGTCTGAGGACTGGTACCCCACCTTGCACTCGAGCCCCTCTGGTCACCTGCCTTGCCCCCCACCCCCACCCATGCTTCCCCTCAGCCTGGAGCCACCAAAGTCCTGGAACTAAGGTAAAACAAGTAATTTCCAGCCCGTGGTTCTTGTGAAAGACTGAGAATGGGTTGACTTTCTTTCCTTTGTAAGGGTGAGGGGCAGCTCAGAGCTTGGATATTTAGAAATGAGAGATCCTGAGGAGTTCTTACCTAGGTAAGAATTAGAGAACTTGGGGAGGTGAACTAGTGGGAGATGCAGGTTAAAAAGCTCCAATGGAGGTGACAGGTAGGAGGGTAATCTTGAGGGAGACAGTGGTTGCTGATGGTTGAGTGGAGATGACGGACGGTCTCAGGAGGTTCCCTTCATTGAGATCCCCATTGAAGGTCGCAATCTCAGTTGTTGCTAGCTGAGTTCACCCATCACCCACCCCACCACTCCATCAGTCATTTTCAGTTGTCCTTTCTGTTCTAGAACTATCTCCTAAGTTTGTTCCTCTTCTTCCCATTTCAGCACACACTTTGCTTTTTTCCAGCCCTGAATTTTGCCACTCATCCTCATGGTTTTGCTTGGCTTCACTTTTTCCTTCTCTAAGAGGCATTTGCAAATCTGAACGTCAAGAAACGGATCTCCCCTATCTTGCATAAAGTATACCAATCACATCTGACTAGCTTGGCCTGGAGGAATCAAGCTTGGCTTGTAGGAGTCTTAACATCTACCTTTAACCTAACTTTGAAATGAGCTGTATATTTAAACATATGTGGTTTCTGGATTTGATTTAGGGTAAACTTGTCTAAGAACAAACTACCTGAGACTCAAAAAGAGATCATTTCCCAGGAAAATCTGCTGTGCTTTGGTCTTAACCCCTCCAAAAAGAAACACTAGGCAGCCTAGTTAGTGGAACCATTTTGTACCATATTGCTAACAATGTACTTGTTTTACTTGTAATTCACTTCTTTTTATGTAGGCCTACCTCCCTTATTAGCAGGTCCATAGAAAGATTCTTAGTTAATAGGCCGCTAGTTATGAATACTCATTATAGGAAAAGTCTTCTGGGTGCTGGTGGCTCACACCTATAATCCTAGCTATTTGAGGTTGAGATCAGAAGGATTGTAATTCTAGGTCAGGCCAGGCAAATAGTTCATGAGACCCCCATCTCCAAAATAACCACATCAAAATGGACTGGGGGAGTGGCTAAAGTGGTAGAGTGCCTCCTTTGCAAACCCAAAGTCCTGAGTTCAAACTCTAGTCCCAACAGAAAAAAAAAAAATCTGTCTTACACATTTGCATTGCTATCTAATTATCTCCTTGGCCCAGACTGACTTCCAGAAAAATTACACAATGGACTCTTCATATCTACAGGTTCTGCATCTGCAGATTCAACCAACTGTAAATCAAAAAAAAATTCCAGGAACTTGCATCTGTACTGAACATGCACAGACTTTTTACTTTGTCATTATTCCCCCAAACAAAACAGTATAACTACTATTTACAAAGCATTACATTGTATTAGGTCTTAAAAAATAATATAGAGGGGGATCTGCATTGTTATATGCAAATGCTATTTCTCTAAGAGATTGAGCATTCTTGGACTTTTGGTATCTTCGGCTGGGGGAGGGGTTTGCATTCCTAAAAAAAAGCACCTGAGTGTTGGTTTTAGCACATCTCTGCTGACTTGTACCATTCTTGACAGTGTGTTAACTGAGAGTAATGTCTCTTTATTTCTTATTGTAAATGTTTCATTAATTGCTAGTAAGAGTTAAGATAGTTTTATGTTTATTGGCAATTTACGTTTTGTTTCTTTTCTGCATTGCCTCAGTTATTTGTGTATTTACATATTGATGCAGTCATCTTTTATTCACGCTTGGGGGTTTTGTGGAACAGGGATGTGAACACCTGTTTGAATATGTTGCAGCTATTTTTCATGGGATTCCAGACAGAATTAAGCCCTAATTCCCTAGGCATCTGTCATATGTAATTAACAGAAATAACTTCTGTCTTAAATATGTAGAATAGTGCTCATTTTGTACGACTGGTAGAATTTAGAATTTAGTCATGCATAGCATTGCCAGGATTTAGAGGAGGAACGCAGGTGAAAAATCTGTTTCTAACTTGCTTTCCCAGTCATTTCTTCATCGTGTAGATCAAATTTCAATCACTTGAAACTGATTTTACTGTTTACAGTATAACACTCATTTGATTTTCCAGCTAGCTAGTTATCCTAATATCATGTATTTGATAGTCTCGCTTTGCCCCATTCGTTTGCAAATTTCTATTTTCCACATAATAGGCTCTCATGTGCACTTGAGACAGCTGTAGATCTGTGTTCTTTTGCATCAATTCATATCTCTACTCCAGTCCCCAAACCACAGTATTTAGTGACTGAAAATGTAAGGATTATTGACATCTTTTGAAGGTTTAATTTTCTTAACCAAACATAAGATGTGTCCTATCATTTCTACCAGACTTCTTTGTCCTTTAAGAAAGTTCCATTTTTTAAAGAAAAATAAACCTTAATGGACATTTTGTAAGTTACAAAAATCACATATTCTCTTTGTACTGAGTCAATTTAAGAAGAAAGAATTACAAGAACACACGTACACACACCTGAATTAGTCCTAAAACTTCCCATAGAGAAGAATTTTTTTCAAAGCATACCTCCAGTATATCATATCACTTGCCATTTTAAATATGCAAACTAAAATTATTTACCAATTTTAAAATACTTATAGCATCATAGTATATGTTAAAATGCCCACAGCAAAATAAAGTATGAAGACATACACACACATGGCAAGAACCCATCTCAGGAGGGGGTAGTAAGTGTGACCCAGGAGAGTGCCCCTGGGGACGTTTGTGTTTGTCACATTCTGTAGTCCTAAGATGTTCTAAATGTTTGCAGTAGTTTAGAAGAATTGTTTAGGTTAATGACCTTGCTGTTAGCCCTTATCCAACCCCACATCATAAGAGATCAACATGCATCCGTCCACAATTTATCTGTGGTCACCAAAACTTACACAAATTTATACAGACTGATGGTTTTTTCCTTTTTAAAAATAAAAATAGGGTCCTACCATAAACATTACACCTTAATAATGTCTTTTCTTTTTTTGGCAGTATTGGGGTTTGAACTCCAGGCCTCATGACCCAGGCTGGCCTTGGACCTCAATACCTCCTGCCTATGCCTCCTGCATAGCTGGGCCTACAGATGTGCACCACCATGCCTGGCTAGTAGAGTCCTGCTAACTCTCCTTGGGCTGGCCTCCTATCTTGATCCTCTGCATCACTGGCTGTTAAGTAGCAAGGATTACATGAGCCTCCATGCCCAGCCCCATAATATCTTTTAAAAATTAATGACCTGTCTTTCAAATGGATCTTACTCTTTTGGCACTGGCAAGTGACAGTGCCATAGGCCACTCAACCATTCCTCTATCATTCAAGAGTCAGAGTTGTTTGCTGTTTTGTTTTGATGTTTTACACGCCCCCCGCCACTGCAGTTGCATTGTTTTAAAGACTAATTTCCTTTAAAAAGATAAAATCATGTCTCTCCTAGAGAAAGAAAATAAATATGTATTAGACATTTTATTGGACTCGCTATTAATGAGGCAATGGTAAAGATGTTAAAATCAACTCCAGGACAATCCAAACAACAGACACATTTGTACATTAGGAATTGTGAAAGGAATATGTAACAGAGGCAAAATTGGCCTCTTTCAAAGTTAGGGAAAGTTTCCAACCAAATTTCCAGGGAACACAATTTATTCGCAAGAATTAGAATTCTGTGTTCTACCAGTTGTCTACATTCACAGAGCTGTGAAGTAGCCCAAAGGCCTCAGAGATCCCATGGAGTCAAAATCAAATAACCCAGGAAGAAGAAAATAATGTGTGTTTTCTCTTGAAACACATTTTTCTCCTTAATTTTCTCTTGTACAGGTGCTTTTCCATCTGTGGGATAGCTGTTTCACCATAGGATTGCTGTGCAAAGGGTTATGTGCATTTAAAACTGTAAAAGATACTGCCCGATGTGTCCCATTTAAAAAAAAATACTAAAATACATATAGAACCAATTTTCGTATATGCTGAGAATCAGGCCACTGAGTTTCTGTTAGTTCCACAGTCAACTATACCAGCACTATTTGTTAAATAAACTGCCTTTCTTGCATTCATTAGAAATTGCTGCCTGTAGCTTATATCATAAGCTCTATAAAATCTGGTCCTTTTCGCTCTTTGGTTCTCACCCCATTTGGGATTTGAAAACCAACTGCCCCTCACCCAGCACCACCGACTGTCCATCCGTCCATCAGTTCATCCCATCCCGCGCCTGCAAAAGGCGGAGATGCAATCACAGTGGCGGTGAAGACGTCAGGAGCAGGTCTTTGCGATGGGAAGTAGAAATCCCTGGGCTTTCAGGATGGTCGCATCTTCGCAGTATCCACACCTGAGTTCTGAAAACTCTGAAGTGAATGTGCGAGGCTTGGAGACGGGAGCTGCGGGCGCCTGGCTGGGCGCACAGTCCCAGGGCGCCCGGCGATCTGGCGGCTCCTTGGCACCCCTAAAGACCTCAGGCCCGGAGCGCGGAGACCACCCGTACGCAGAGGGCGGAGAGGTGCGGTTCAGTGTCCCAACCCTGTGGGCGGAGACCTGTGTGGCGTGTGGAAGCAGAGGGTGCATTCAGGCGTTGCGCCTGGCGCTAAGTGCGCAGCCCAGGTCCAGCCGATGCAATCTAGCAACGAGCCCTAAGAAAGCTGAAGCTTTAAAGCTTTGGTGCCAAACCTCGATGACTGGGAGCGTTGCGTCTAGGATCGGCTGGAACCCGCGGGGAGTCCCTCCCGGCCAGGGTTGCCTTGGGCGCAACAGTCTCACTTTCCTCGGAGCCTGAAGGCAGCACGTTTTGATTGCTTCTGTGTCCCCGAGTCGGGAGTCCCTTGCAAGCTGCACCTGGCAACTTTGCCGGATGCAAAGGGACCTGCTGTGTCGTGGGATGAGCTCTCCTGGGTGGGAGGCCTTCGCCGGTTCAGCCCAGCCAGCGCGTTCCGGGTCACCAGGGGAACGATTTCCTCCATCCCGTCATGCAGTTGTT